CCCGGAAGTGACCCTTTCTCTCTCAGCCAGAGGGGCCCGTCGAGGCTCGTAAAGACAAAAATCGTATATATATATATATATATATATATATATATATATATATATATATGTATATGTATACGTGGCTACTATCAAAGATACGAGTCCCGGGAACGCGGTTTTATATCGTTTTACCTCGATTGTCCGGCCGCGGGCTACACGAAACGCATTCCGTGCTCGCCACTTACACTCCTTGATCGAGCAACGCCACGTATTGCTGAGATTTCCGCTACCACAAACGCCCAGAAGCGAATATCTAACCCATGGGCATCGGTGCTTTGGGTATTCGTCTACGTTCAACGTACTACAAGAAAACTCGTTATCGTTTATCGTTTAATCGACGTACCATCGATGACAGAAAATTGAACATTATACACCGTTGTAGATTCCACTCTGGGAGAAAAGAAAATTCATTTCAACGCGTTCGCGTTGGCATAAGCTCCAAGGGCATACGATTATCAGGCACACAAGTCAGACTTCGAACGTTTCCTCTCGTGGTACAAGCAGGATCACGGTTAATCAATTGCCCTCCATCGAAAGCCGATCCTGCTCAGACACATCCGTTCGATTACAAGACGCCCGCTACCGTCTCGAGCATTTCTCCACTCCTCCTTTATCGTTTCGATCCCCCATTACTCGACACGGGACCGGACGCGTTTTATAGTCGGTTCACGCGTTTTACGAGGACCGCGCGAGTTCGCGCTCGTTTCGCGTCTTATCGATATCGAAGACGAAGAGATAAACGAGGAAACGTGGGAGCAACCCAGAACGTAGGATTCCACCGTCCGTTTGGTGGATCTTCGAACAGCATTCGGCCATATCACGAGATAAATATCACGGGATCGGTCATCGGAACACTGCGTTATAAATCCCTCTCGGTGGACAGGGGAGAAGAGAGAATCTCCGTTTCTTACCTGTAACCGTATAATGGAAACGTTAATGTCGAGTGACGGTTGCGCGGTCGCGTGAAACTCATCCGAACGCGATAATGCCCCCGAGACGGTCGTTACCTTTCCGTGTCTCCGGCCTCCTTTCGAGGAGCGGTTTAATTCGCGATAAGTACGTAAGGGGGAATTTAGTTGGTGGCGTGACGGCAGATACGAGGTCTAACTGCCTACCTGCTCGGACAGCTGCGCCAGGATAAGATAACGACTCCTCGGACGTCCGACTCGAGCCGACCCGGCTGGCCGGCCCTCTTTATTGGGCCGCCTAGAATTCGTTCGATGCTTCCTAAGATCGGGGACCACCCTCGTTTCAACGTTTCTCCACCGTGTTCCTTCGAATCGAGTAAAATTGTTCGTTGCGAAGGTGGGCAAAGAGAACGGGGTGAAAGTAGGAAATAGCGGAAGGCTCGAGTTACTGGCTCCATCGGGGTGCAGCTCTGCCAGTCCCGGCGGTCGCTTTGACGTATTTTCCACGAGCACTTTTCGTGTCTTCGTGTCGTCGTCTCTTTCGCGTAATTACACGCTCGACGGGGCTCGGGAATCGCGAGTCCCGTGCTCGTTACGAGTTGACCGAAAACGGAGCGACTCGCTTTCGTCCACGAATGGAACACCTTTTTAAACGGGCGATGGGGTTCTCCGTAGGCGCGCGCGCGCGCGCGCACCCGTTCGGGAACCGTATAAAAAGCAGTTTAAACGAGAAACTTCTTTGTGTCGCGACCCGAGTTCCTCCCTCCTAACGTCCTTCTCCTCGAAAGGCGAGTTTTCCGCTCGAGCTCGCGATATCACCCGTTCCGACGACGGTGTTCGGGAGGACCGACGCGTTTCCGGGCGGAAAAACGGGTCTCAATAAGCTCGTGCCCTCTCACGCTCTTTCTTACTCCCTCTCTCTCTCTCTCTCTCTGGGGCCAATTAATTTCGCTCGCCTCGAATCATGGATAAATCGGTTTTTACGATGTCGAAGCAGGGGAAACGACGGGACTCGTGAACGACGCGCTCGTACGGAAAACGCTAAAGACGGGGACAAAAGGGTTCGCGCGTGGATACACGGAGCCACGAGTGTCGTCGAGTCGCGTCGTACTTTTGTACGGGAAACTAACGTTCGACAAAAGAGCTCTGTGTTTGTTCTACCCACTGCTCTCGTCGCGCAGCCATCCAGGGAATAGCGAAACGCGACTTCCAATTCCATACTCTCTGGCGTTCCCACGTATAACTAACGCGAAGACTACCGTGCCCGATTTCGACGAAATGGTCGATGGCGATAGCAAACGCGTCGATGGAACTGCCAGCTCGAGGAAAGTCACGAGTGAAAAGGGTGATCGGGACGCGGTGAAACTTCGGAAACTGTTGCGCAAATTGCGGCACTTTACGATCTCTTCGAAGTCCAGTGGTTTTGACCGATCCGCAGAAAGAGAGAGAGAAAGATCGAGATGGCTGCCAATTCCATTCGATTGCCACGACCAAAACCAGGGACCACTCGTTTCAGACCAGTTTAAACCGCCGTGAGTCTGACGAAATCGTTTACGTATCGGCGGCCTGTAAACGTTTCGCGATCAGCAGACAACCAACATCTCGGAACCGCGACGAAAAGCACGGCCGAGAAGAATGGGACGAGAATCCCCGCGGAAACTGGATTCGCATGGAGGGCAGAAGGCGAGTTTCCCGGAGAGAACAGACTTCGAGTGGCTATTCAAAGTCGAACCAGGACGGCGTGCAATTAATTCCTGAACGGGTGGAGGGGGGTAAATCGAGTCGCGGCAGCGCGCCCCGATAGGGCAGCACTCGTGACCCGCGTCACGACCGGTTCGATCAAAAGCCGGAGGAGAGAGTAGTCGAGACTCGAACTCGCTTATCTCAAATAACGATGCCGCGGGCGCTCTAATTCAATGGACGATTCCGCTACGTACACCGGAACCGACGTTATTGTCGTAGTTCCGTAGGGAAGGGGAGGAGGCGTGTTCTCTCGACTCGGCGTCGCGGCGGCCGATGCCAAAACGAGACGGCGAATCCACGATTCTATGCGCGAGTTATCGATTCAACCGCAAACTCGCGATTCGAACGAGAATTAAGTTAACGCTCGTTAATGGCCGGATATCGAATTTTCGGGGGTCCGAAATTTCGCGATCGGTCAAACGTGTATCGTAGTTTTCGCGATGGATGCGGGAAGACCAATAATTGTTTGACAGAGAGATCGCGATCGGTGGTAACTGTCCGTCGAACCGACGCGAAAACATCTGATTTTCAGAGGTTTCCGATAAATTCTCGATTGATCGAACATCGAAGATCTCCTGATATTGCTGAAAACAGAAAAAGAACGCAACGATCCTCTCGGTTTTTGGCAGTTTTCTTTCCCTCTCCCGAGTATTGTGATTCCCCGTTGCGGACAGGGAACGTCGAAGGTCTATGGTCTCGCGTTCGAATCGACCTTTGTTCGCCAGTATTCCGCGCGATCTCGATGAAACATGGTCACGGGTGACGCGAAATCGATTCACGATGATCCTCGCCGCGTTGCGTCCCAAGTGGAACACGATCGATGGCCCACCTTTCTCACCGAATCGACATGAGACACACCGGCAACAACCTCCGCGAATTTGTCGTTCGTATTAAAAACACGATAACGCGCACGCGAGCGAGCCGCGAGCCCCCTCGGCATTCCCAAGTCCATTAAGATCCTGGCCCTGGGTAATTAGAAGGACAATGCATCCCGGTTCGTGAGTGGCGGATTAAGCGACGCGGCCGTGCAAGAGATTAACCGCGCGGGAAGAACGGTTCTTTCTCTGGGGGGAGGAAGAGTAACTTACTCCAAGCTGGCCACGTACGCGATACGTCCGAGGTGCAACAAAAACAAGAAGAAAAAATAAGTCACACGGCCGACGAAATTACGCTTGCGCGCGAAACCGCGGCTCGCCGAGGATATCGCGGTTGCATTCAACGAGATCACGGGACCAGAATGGGGAAGGGACCACCTTGCGAAAAATTGTGTCCCTCGGAGAGAGAATAATTCAGTGGAAACTCGGCCTGGGCATTTTTCGCAGGGTGCCGGGGCGTAATGGTGCATTACGAACGGGCATATTTTACGATTCAGAGAAAGGCCGCGCCTCGATGGGATAGCCGGTGCCCCAGCGTCGCGGTGCTTTTCCTCGTCCTCGCGGTCGTCGTCGTAAAATATCGCGGCGGCTTAATTAAACGCGCCGTTGCCACAGTCCTTTCTCGACCTAGCCTACAGGAATCGGGTCGTGTCGTTTACGAGGTGCATCGCACGGAGAAGATTGTCGGCGAGCTCGCGAGATTCGTCGAATCGATCAGGACAACGTTGATCGTTTATCCACGGTAACGACGATTCGATTCGAGTAAAGAAACAGAGAGAGAGAGAGAGAGCTTAAACGACGGCGATCGAATCGGATAATTGCATCTCGATGCGTTTTCCACGGTTATTGGCCTACGACGTTGACCCAGAAGGGAGGAGAAGGCCGCTGGATAGGAGAGGAAGGAAAAAGAGAACGATCACAAAGAACGGTACAATGGAGTTTGCGAAGCATTGTTTGAGCATCTAGCACGATCCATCCACTCGCGACCGACCTCCCCCACCCTCTCTCGATCGTTCGATCCCCACGACTTTTTCAAGCTTTTCTTCGTCGTTCCGTCGTCGGACGATACGAGCGGACCCCCGAAGGTCGTCGTCGGAGATTTTATCGTTCGAAATATCCCCGAGGGTCGGGCACCGTTCGGAGAGTCGTTTTTCTTTTTTTTTTTTTTTTAGTGCTTCCATTGTGTCACCGTTCGCAGTGGGTCAAGCGTTCGTGGGATTCGAGCCGAAAAGAAGCTTTCGTCTCCCGCGAAATATGCCGTCGTTCGCCCGTCGAGAACGCAGGGCGAGTACCAAACGACGCGACGGGACGTTGCATCTCCCCTCGAACGTACCGCGTATTTTTCCCCGTGCTTTCGTCCAACGTAACGCGTTACCGCTAAAGCAGCTTACACCAAAGTCTGGAAATACGTTTGTTCTTCTTTCTGTTACAGTCGCCGGCCTGAAGCTGCTGCGCTTAAACGTACCGACGTACACCCTAAGGGGCAAGACCGCGCTCCTCGAGTGCAGGTAAGGGTACTCGAATTTCTCGACAGCTGCTTTGTCCAGCCCGACACTTGTCGCGTCATCGAACGTTTCGTCCGTGTCTATTCACTTGGATCGATCGATCGAACACGGAAAAGCGATTCAGATATCTCGCCAAGTCCGAATTTCGAATCCAAAGAGGAGGGATGGAATCAGGCAGTGTAAGAAAATTACGACGGTAAAGACGCGAGAACAGCTCTCGAACGATTTTCCCCTCCCTTCTCCCACGTCCCGTGTTTACGGCGAACGAAGAAACCGGACGAGAAGAACTCGTAAAGACATCGATAAGATACCCAAGCCAATAACGTATCGAGTTTACGCTTAACGTCCGAGCGAGACGGTAAATAAAATTAAAAATAAGACGAGAAACAGGATGGATCGTCGATCCCTCGGCAGCACAGGAATCACCGCGATATCCCGTTTCGCTTCTAGCCACCGGGGTTTATTTATTTATACCTGCAGTACCGCAAGACCACCGCAATCCGAGCTGCGAGAGCTTCTTCTTACCCGGGTTCTTCTCCCCCGAAAGAGACGCGATTCCACGCGTCCTCCGACCAAACTCCGCGATACACCGAACGTGCACTCCGGGGATCTCTTTCGAACTCGTACGCGTTTCTTTCGCGGTTCCGAGGATTTTTCCGTCGTTGACAGCAAAGAAAACCACAAATCTCCGCGGTGAAATTCTTCTTCCGCGAGCAGACACGGGAGTGTCAAGGGTGTTGTCGTTTGCGCGTCGTCGATTCGAGAAGAAACATCGGTATTTACGGACGAGTCCTCGAACCTTCTCCCCTTTCCGCCTGGCTTCCATGCTTCCAGACGCGTCTTGTCGGCTGCCTCGCCTGCTTGTATCTCTGATCGGAGCTGGGCCGATGTCGCCTCGAGCTACTCCGAAACCCCACACTCTGTACACGGAACGTTTTCGACGATCGAGCAAATTAACTCGCCGAGAATCGTTCGTCCATTGGCCGAAATCAATCGTGCACGGTCTTGATGGAAGAGATACACAGACACTATATGGTCGTAATATCGATCAGTAGCGGCGAAGTATTCGCGGCAAGTCCTGTTCTTCCTTTTAAAATATAACTTAGTGAAATATACAAAGGTATGGGCCCAGGTGTGATAATTGAAGAAACAGAAAAATATTCATTCTTTTATCATTTATTCGTATGTACACTCACGAGCAAACTCGGCTTCCGCTAGGGAAAAAGCGGCGTAGGAGAAAAGTCTTCTACCACTTGGTAAATTTATTCAAGGTAGTAAAATAAATGTTAAATCGAATGTTAATTTGGCATAACTTTCAGAAACTTCCGAATTCGAATGGTAGAAGGCCCTTCCCCTACGCCACTTTTTCCCTACGTCCTTCGCTTATTATCATAACTTCGTGCTAAAGGGTATTTATCCCGTTAATAAATAAATAAATAAAATAACGAGTTACTGTTCCATCGACCATTATCTCTGGTCCCATACTTTCGTTCAGTAATCTATACGTTCTAAAAGGGCCTTGCGCCTCGCTGAAGGCTCAGATTTCAATTTCTCGCGCGAGTCGAAAGAATCGCCATCACGAAACGGTAATACTTGTCCAGGGTCGTTAAAACCTAAATGATCTACACCTACAGCTATGAGTCCCGCGGCGTCATCCGGTTGTCAAATCGTCGCTTTACGAGCGCGCTATATCGTTTCCATCCGCCCGGCTGTGCACGCTCGATTCTCAGCGAAATTCCCAGATGAACCCTCGTTTTCTCCGTTCCGAGGCGGCCGCCTCGCGTCGAGTCGCCGTCTAGCCGGTAATTGCGCGAGCCCGGTCAGCGTCGAATCCAAGTTTCTTCCGGTTAGGAAACGACGACGGGGTGTCGCACGGGGCTATCCAACGAGGGGGATTGGTAGGGGAGAAGGGGGAGGTTATACCAGATCGAAGAGACTGGAAACGTGTCCCGTTCCTCGACATCGACGACGGTCAGATATCGAACGGCACAGCCTGGTCCCTCGAGAGATCTTTCGTGGATCCTTAAGTCGTGCACAGCGGCGGCACCGACGGCGGCCATGTTAATTAAAACGTAATGAAATTATGGCACAGCGTCGCGCGTCCTACAATTACGGCTGCCCGGAATATGCATTCTAATTAGTGGTTCGCGCGCGAGCGCGGGCGGGCGGACGCGAGCTCAACGACTTTTCACGAAGAAAATAAGGTCGACCGTTGGGTACTCGCGGGAGACCCAACCGTTTCTAGTGGGTGCTTCGTGTCGCGTGGAAAACGCGACGAGGAACTAGGGGGAGGTGAGTAACGGGGGTCCGTGATTCGATTAATTCGAAAGACGGGCGAGGGTGCAGACAACCGCTCGAGAAACGGGATCCGGTCGATCGAACATACAAGGCCGTTGCTGCTGGTTCATCCTTTCGGTCCATCGATGGTGTACGATCGGAGAAACCGGGCAGAGACCGTGCTCCGTCCCATTCCCACGTATCCGTACGTTCAAAGCGGCAGTATGCTTTCCACGTAACGTCGTAAACGAGATGCCGAAGAGCGCGCGAAACGCCGGCAAATTGGAGTGTTCGCATTTTCTTCCACGATACCTCGACGAGTCGCGTGGGAAGAAATGTTGCAGCTCGGCCACGTCGCCACTCTCGCCGGCCTTTACACATTTCGATCGGTGATGCGTTTGTTCCCTGGTTGTTCCTGATCGTCTCGGTGAGCTGTAAAATTCTTAAAATAACTCGTCTCCAACATAGACTCACATTTGGGGATACAATGTATGGAGACGATTTATTTTAAGAATTTTACAGCTCACCGAAACTATCAGGAACACTGGTCGATTCACAGCCCTCTCGAGCCCCGGAGCGTTACTCTGTTCGCTGTGTTTCCGTTCGATACTGACCACTGTCCCGCTAAAGGATTTCATAGAACGCCAACACGTTCACGAAACTTTCCATATTTCCCTCGACTAGCGACTCTTCGAAAAGATTTTCGAGCAACACGACGATCGCCCTTTAGTTATCCCATCTCGGAGACGTCGTTTAATCGCGACGAGAAGGAAGAAAAGAGTCGAACGACGAGGATGTACAAGTGGAAAGGAGTTCTTTGACGCGAGGTGTCGGTCGAACGTCGGATCGTCGGGTTGCGCCGGAGATAGAGAGAGCAGACCCGTTCCTCGAGCTAGGTATAAATTGCAAATTAGTTTACCGTGCTTCGTGAGCTCCCAGCTCGTTGGTTTCTCCGACGGTTCGCCGGTCGGTCGAGGTGTTTCCTTCTCCCCCTCTCTCTCTCTCTCTCTCTCTCGTAGCTTCCCTAATTTCTCCACGAAGATTTTGGCAAATTGAAAGCAAGGACCGAAAGAGATAACCGTGTTCGTTTCGGCCTGCGCGTTCCACGAATCCATCCCGAGATCCCGTCGACTAGACCGGTGGAACAGCGACGGAAAGATCGTCCGACGATTCGGGGCTCGTCAAAGACGGTTTTCCGTCCGAGCAGTAGACCAAAGAACAATCCTGACTCTTCGTTCCATTCGAATCGCTTTTCCCTCTCGAACAATGAACAGTCGTCGGCAGGGAGAACCAATAAAGTTCCCGTTGCCACGCGCGTCTCTCGATACGAAACAAAAGGTTTCCGTCGCGACGCGCGTACGATGAAGAATTTCGAGGAGGCTCGGCGCCCGGAACCGGCGGAAAATTGAGAAGAAGAGTGCACAGGAGGAAGGAAAGCTGAAAGATCTGTCGCGGAGGGTAAAGAAAAGCGGCTTGGGCGGGGTACGAGATGGAAGGGAAAAAGAAGCAGCGAAGGAGCTAGGGGATGAAGAGAGTGGAGGAGAGGAAAACAAGACGGAGGGAGGGGGCTGTTCCCGCAGGACACGACCCGGCAAATGAGCCGGAGGATGCAAATCAATCCCAGGACGCGGCCCTCCAAATTGTGCACCTACGCTCGAATGCGGCAATCCCTTTTCCAGTAGCTGCAGCTGGGAACTAGGGAGCTGCTACGGCGACGGTAGCGGCGGTGGTGGCCCCTCACCATCGAGCCAACCCCCTCCGCCCTACCCCCACGCGATGCCCCCCTGGGTACGTCGATGCAACGATGCGACGATGCGACCACGTTGCACCGCAATGGTGCAACGATACTACTCTACCGACGACAGAGAAATACCTAGAAGCACAAGGGCCACATCGAGCATCTGCGAGGAGAGGCGCGAGCGGATATCGCGGTTGTCGCCGCGACTACACGCAGCCCCTTTTGTCCGACGTCACCCTGGAAACCACCGTCCACGAAACCCCGTTTGGAAAACTTCGAGTCGTCGTGAAACTCCTCCCGTTTTCGCACCCCCGACGGTGTTCGGTATTAACCAAAAATCCCAAGAATTTCTCCACCGTCGAATCGTAATTTAACAAGCGGAAACGAAAGACGATGGAACAAGGATGATGGGCGAGAGGATTATACCGGGAACAAAGGATTTCCGCGACTATGAAGAAACCTGGTTACCCGTCGAAAGGAATCGATCGTTCCGTTCGAGATGTGAAATAAAATTTAATTGGTAGAGAACGCGTTCGCGCGTCTCGAGTCGTCGCTATTCGACCGGATTGTTATACGGACGGATCTCCTCGTCGAGGGGTGGGAGGCTGGGAGACGATGAAATTCGACGTTTCTACTACTCCTCCTCGTCTCTCGAATTCGACGACGCTTCGAAGGGGTGTGCTCTCACGCGTTCGTGTGCTCGCTCGCCCGAATCGTTTCTCCGAATAACCCGACGAATTTTCCGACGGCCGAGTTTCGTCGGCGCGCATTAACGAGATCGTTCCGGCGTGCACGGTCGAAGCTATTAGCAAAGAGTGGGATAAGCAAAAGGGGTGGGTGGAGGAGGGATGGGAGCAGCGGTGGTGGATACAGAAGCGAGAGAGGGAGAGACAATCCAGAGAAGCGTAGACGCGTCGCGACGACGAGTTCCGGCCAACCTCGGCGAACGTATCCGTTGCTCGTTTAATTACTTTACGAATATTAATTGTCGCGTGGATTAGTCGAGCCACGAAACACTATACGTACCTCGTTCACGCGGAACCGAATAGCCTGTTGCGCCACGACGATTTTATACACAACGATTCGATCGGGAGTTTGGTACTCGAGAGCCTGGCGATCGGCTATTAACAACGATCTCGGCAACTAATAAATTCGAATACTCCTGTTCGATGAATTTTTAGACACCTTCACCGTGAACGTCCAGATTTAACATTAGCTTATCCAATAAATAGGATTGTTTTTGTAATTCAATAGGCATCTACCCGTGGGAAATAAATTATTATCAATGCTGTTCCTGGAATTTGATTCCCGTTCCGTTAGAACGCAGGAATCCAGCGAGTTACCCTCCTAGATTTCGATAATGTACGTGTTTCGTGAAATCCTAGGATCGTCGAATGAAAAGAAGCATCGATCCCTGTGGCGGATGGACAGCATCGAAAATCCTTCGGGACGCTTTCGTTCCTCCATTTCTGAGAAGGATAATCGGGGACAGAGGGCGAATTCGATTAGCAAATTGATGGAACTTGGATCCGCGCCGGGTTCCCCGGTCGCGTTGAAAAGCATCGATCGCGGAATGTCGATCAATTACCGTAATTGTACGTAGTTTTCTTCATTGGAAGCTTGTCACGCGACAGGCCGGGTCCACCCTCGCTCGTTCGTGCGGGGCATCGTAGCAATCACGTTAAAGCGCATACCGACGGGAACGTGTGCGCAACGTTCACTCCCGTGATTCCCAACGGTACCGCCGCCTCGTTTATCCCCACGATCGGTTTTTAACCTAGCTAGCCCCGATTCCTTCGCTCCGCTTTCGGACACGCGTGTCCCGCGACACCGATTTTTACGGGACGATTCGAACGAGACGTGCAGCTTAGTTACAGTAAATCATCGATGAGTGATCGAACGTTCCTCGACACAGACGTCATATCTCCACCACTAACTGGTTCCACGTGGGACCCCCCAGTGGTGGGGATGACTAATAAACACTCTGTGCCTTCGAACACTAATCGATAATTTACTGTACTCGTCTACGAAGCGTATATAGCTCTATGGTGTATAATAATACGCGTGCTGTTTTACTCTGTTGTTCCAGATACGACCTGGAAGCGGACAATCTTTACTCCATCACGTGGTACAAGGACCACGAGGAATTCTACAGATACGTGCCTAGCGGGGAACCAAAGAAGCACAGCTATATCGTCGAGGGCATTAAAGTTGACGTGAGTCGAAAGCCCTCTTGTGTCTCGCAACGACGCGCAGCCTTGTTTCCCGACCCCACGGTATCTGATCTCCGCATTGCCGCGTTTCGCGCGAACATCGACCGTTCCCGGTACTCTTGCTCCTCCTTCCAACTTCCAACGCGATTATCTTCTTCCCTGAACGACGAATCTCGGCGCCCTCCTCTCTCCCGTTTCACTTATCGACGATTATTCGCGAGTCGCGACCGAGCACCCGTCGGTCGAACGAACACAGCGATCGATCGGCCAGGATGAGCAGGAGGGGAGCTGGGGAACGATTCAAAGATCCACGAAACTCGAGGAGATCGAGAGAAATTCTATTCGCAACCGGTTCATAAAGGGAACGAGTAGAAGGAGGAGCGCGGTTACTCGGTTCTTTTGCCCCGCTTCCAACTTTAATATCAGCCTCGCGTATAGACTTCTTTGTGCATTACGAGAAGCTCTGAAACGCGCGCAATTACCCTTGCGAATGCGCGTCGACACGGATCGAGCCGAGGGACAAATATCCCGAACGCGTAAAATCTTCTCGTCACTGTTCGAGGAAACCTTTAGGTTCGTCGCGTTGCGATTTCACACTGATTGACGGGGTGAAACCCGAAATACTCGTCTTCTCATTTGTACACGAGTAGAACGTTTTATAAGGACCAACGACAAACGACCAGCGTCGTTTACATAGAGGAAATGGTCGGACGCGGACGGACGCACGAGTCGTAACGACGCAATCCTTGAGGCTGAACTACTAGCATTGCCCAGAAATTGGCTCCACGATCGTAAAGGTACGCCCCGGTCGGTTTGCCGTGCTTGAATAACCGGTATTCTCGCGGTTCTCGCGTGAACCGCGATCGACCCCGTGGATCCGCGGCTCGATCCAACCGCAACGCGAGTCGCCACGATAAACCCGCTAAGTATACGAATATTGGGGCATTCCGCGTCGCGATAAACGTAAAGATCCGACTTTAGATCGCTCGTTTCGGTCCCGTCGAACGCGTTTCCGTGGCCTGGATGTGTGCAACGGACCACCGTCGTAGAGACGGTACATAAACTGGGCATGTCGAAGGAAAGGGGAAAAACACGCGGGTGTTTCGCCGGACTGTTCGACCGGAAAAGCTTCTTTTCCGGTTTAACGTTGAAATTTTATTCGACGCGGCGACCGGTTCAACCGTGTTTCGTCGAGCAGACTTGGACGAGTAGAGAGAGGCTAGGGACAGGTGTGCAGGAAGAGAAAGCGAATGAAATTGCCGATACCTACCCTTGGATAGGGGATGTCGATAGGTACGCGTTGTCCCTCCCCCTTTGCCCGTGCTCGCGCGACTGCAACGGGGTCGCTTTTATCGTCCCGAATAAATGTTTGACGAATCGAGAGGCTGCGAGACGAGTTCTCCCGTCTGCAGTCCGACCACCGCCAAGATGGAACGTCGAGCGTAGAGGGATGGAAAATAAGGATAGAGAAGGCAAAACGAGGATACCTACAGTCGCGTCGCGTCGCATCGGTTGCGGCCGCGATCGATCTGACGGATCGCGAGGCGAACTCCCGCCGTCCGAGAAAACCGAAACGAAACACAGGGTCGTGAGACTCTCGACCTGTTCCCGATACGATACGATACAGTACATCGTAGGTACGGCGGCGGCACGGTTACGATACCGGTACGTCCGTTTCCGATTCACGTTTTGGAAGGCACGAAAGTTCCGTTTTCCTCGGCGCTCGTTAATATCGGCCGACGCGTAACGAGCATTACGTGAGTCGAATCGGCTCATCCCTTTGGTCCCGGTTCTCGAGATCGAGGAGAGCACGGCTATTAATCTGGCTCGGTCCAATGGCTCTCCGATATCGACAAAGAAATTTCTCCGTGGACAAAAGCGAGCGTGTCTTTTCACCCTCCTGCTCTACGGCTCGGATACGCCTCTCGTGACACTTATTGGAGTAGCAGGAATTAAGTGGATTTAGCGGGTAGAGTCGTATATTTCTACCACCACCCCTCCCCGCGGGGTTCTCGACTTTTAATTTTCTCTCTTGTTCGCCCCCCCCCCCGTCTTTTTACCCACCGTTACGTAACACCACTTAATTTTCCTATCTTAAAATTTTTAATCGCTCCCCTTGCCACCCTTCCCCTATCCATCTCGATTTCTCTTCGTGCTCTTTTCCACGCTTTCCCTCCCTCTAGTACCTACTCGTTAGCCGGGATTTATTTACCTCCGAAACCCTCGCGGGAATTTGTTCCGTCGAACGAGAAAAATCTCGAAGAACCGCACGCGATCCATCTGTCGAATCGTCGCGAGTAGTAGCAAAAGACAACAGAGAGGAACGGTCAGAGATCGTACTCTCGATCTTTCGGCGGAGGGGGTTAGAGTTAACTCTCCAGGTCGAAGGGACGTGAGGAAAAAAAAAGTGAAACCGGCCTTTGTCGTTATCCACTCGACGGGATCCAGGGGTAAGAGAAGTTTCGGTGGGAAGACTGGAGCTCGAACTTTTCTTCGATGGAACAGAGTTCGCTTTCGGTCGGTTCTCGCGGCCAAATACTTTCGCGAAACTTTTCTACTCCTCCCTTCTCCGTGTGCAGCGACCGATAGAGTCCATTCGCTCCGGCTGTCCTACGATACGGCTTGGGTCACGTCTCGACGATGTAACGCAACGGTATTTTCCGAGGATGCACGTGCGAGAGTACCTCTGTTTGTCTATTCTTTTTTTTTTCTTTTCGTTGCGGTTGCGAGAAACGACGCGTATCGGCCGGTCTCTCGCCGCGTCGATTCGCTCGGACGCTCCGTCCGTCTCCGTTGAACGAGATCAACCCCGTTCCACCGCCGTTCCGAGTAATGCGATTCCGCGAGCATTTCGAGCTTCGTCCACGCGCATCACGATCATCCCCCTCGTTTCACCCCCCGTCTCCTCTGCCCTCCCCCTTGTTTTCTCGTAACTTCGCTCGTGGAAACGTAAATCGATTTGCCCGATCACAGAAGTTTGCGTTCGAGGCGAAGCTTCAACATGCGACGGAATGAAGCGCGTCGACGTTTTCGACGAACATTTACTGGAACCAGGGCGTGGTCTTCCCTCTCTGTCTCTCTATCGCGAAAATTCTATTCCTGTTTCAAGACACCGTACACAGAGACGAGGTCTAGTCCGTCGTGGTTCACGATGGATCCATTCCCTCGAGGGGTCGACAGAGAAAGAAACAGACCTGAGAAACAGATGAAGGATAAACAAGGATATACATTCGAGCGACGCAAAAGTGAAAAAGAGTCGCGCTGCCGAGAACTAAATGGATTATCAGCGTCGCGATTCCCATCTATTGCGGGTCTTCCCTCGCTCGGGGCGGCGCATTCCCTTCCGTTCTCCGCTTCTCTCTTCTCAACGGCGCGCGCGGAGGCGTAGATCCCAGCGACAAAGCTGTGAACGAACCGACACCGGATACTGGAATTTCCGCGGAGAGATCACGAGCGGTCGCGGCCTCTGCGCCGCGGATCTTCTCCGTCTTTCCTTATTAACTCGGTAAACGAGTAATCACGTTGCTTCGCTCGGAAGCCGGAGGCCGGATTCTCTTCGTTTCGGGTCAATTCAGCCACGGTCTTCGTTTTCACCTTCGCGATTTCCACGATCTCGGGAGATCGTTTCGTCGTCGCACCGACGCCACAACCTTCCGTGATCCTGGATCGTCCCATGGCCCGTTTCAGCAACGCCGTGTACACGCCCGTTTCCAGCTCGATCGCCGGGCCAGGACGATGGACCGTTTCTCACACCTCTACACGCGTCTTGCCCGAAATAAGCTTTCGTGGTACCTGCCGGCGGACCCGTAGCCGCCGGCAACTGTGGCAATAAATCGATATAAGCGGGTAAGCTTCTTACCAGCAGCCTAACCATGTAATATTCCACACCGCGGGTGGAATAATTTTTCGTGTATCGCCATGGAAAAATGCTTATCCGATGGGAACGCGATCGTTTGCCACTGCTTTCGTACGACACCTCGTCAACAGACCCGACGAATAATCGATTCCTCGCGGAATCGTGCTCGGTGAAACAATTTCAGAACTCGAGGAAACTTTTCGGCGAGCAGCGTACCGAGCTCCTCGACGAAGAGCCCAAAAGGTTTTCGGACGGCGAACGTGTAGGGGACGACATCGATCTCGGGCTGTCGCGGCCACACGAGATCCCCTTTGAAAGATAAAGCGGTCTCTGTCGCGTAGAGGGGAGCTGGTCGGGAAACTACGTGACCGGGCAATTAGTACCTATTTGGAATTTATCGAGCGACGTCGTTTTTGTTTCAGCTCTGGCGGTCCGACGACCAACGGGTCCTGCTGCAGAACGCCAGTCTGCACACAAGCGGACGGTACAAGTGCGAGGTGAGCGCGGAGGCGCCGAGCTTCAACTCGGTCAGCGACGAGGCGAGCATGGAAGTCGTAGGTGAGGGAACCGATGAGCGAACGTCGTCTCCACCGTCGCCCCTCTTGTCTCTTCCCTGTGTGTGCGTGCATGTGTGTCTTCCTGGTTTCTCCCGTCGTCTCCCCGTCCCATTCCGTTCCATCCCGTCCTGCTAATTAATGATCCTTTGATCGCGGCCATCGAACTGCTGTAATACGAGCAAAGCCTTCGCGAGCTCCGAACCGATTTCATCGTCGTCGGTGGAATCCTGTCGGAAAGAGGAACGATCATCCACGAACCTATAGAACGAGCAACATGAAAGTTTCTGAATCAACGAAAAACGGGATTCGAGCCCGCGAACTCGGTGATCCGCGGACCAGATCAACGAGACGAGGGTTCGATCCGCGACGGGGCAAGCGTTAAGTTTAAGATCGCGTAAAGACGAGCCGAACCGCGCGCGCGATAAATATTACGGCGTCGTAAGTTCCTCGGGGGGGTCGTAACGCGAGCTACCAAGGGTGGACCAAAGGTATCCGCGCGCACTGGTAAACGAGTAAACGTCAGGAGGGACCGTAAAACCGGTCGCGACGGTGTTCGAGCCGAAAGGATGAACTCGCGGCGCGAGCGGGGGCTCGAGTTTCGACGGCGAACTCCCGCGAAGTCTTCTCGTGTCTTCGAAACCGACGAAATTCCCGTCTCTCTGTCTTCCTTTTCTCGTAGTCTGGCCGCGTTCTCCCGAGCCATGCACGATCGATAATCCACCAGGTACCCGCCATTACCGTACCTTTACCGAGACTCGTGGAAAATTTTGTACGTTGCAAATAACCCCGGGGCATCGTCGTCGTTCCCGTCCCGCGTACCAACTTCCCCCTTTTAGCTTTGCTCGCGTTCCTTCACCTGTCCTGGCATTCCCTGTCCTTCTTTCGTTCCTTGATCTTGACGGCGCCTATCTTTTTATTCTCCGCTAAAGAAGGGACGGAAACGCTGCAACAAGTCGCACGCTCATAATTTTCCGCGTGACGCGTGAAGGCTTGCTTAGCCACCAAAAGAGGCTTTTCGTCGTTGATTTCGATTTGCTCGTTTGGAGTCGAATCTGCGTTAGGTATAGTTCACTGGGAAGAGGGGTGGAAAGGAGGAACGAAGGAGAAATAATAGACTTCGTGTCCTATTGTAAACCGAGCCGTGTATCCGCGACTCGAAAGGATCAATCCAATCGCAAGCGCAAATGGCTTCGTTGAATATTCTAAACGAACCGTCGTCGTCTCGACGTTTTCGCGAGGTGACGAGCTTTTAGCGCGATCGCCACCCCGAGGAACAAAATCAACGGAACCTCCTCGAGTCTCGACACGATTCACGATACTAACGACGAGACGATACACGCTGTTCGATGGGTCGCGTGATCGAAATTCCGGAAAGGGCAGAGTGCTCGTTCGTAGATTCTTAAGGACTCGTTTGGAAACGCGACCCGTGTCGATACGGCGGAAGGTGGTTCGCGTGTCCCGGACCTCGAGGCTGACAGCGTCGAGGTAGAAGTGCTTCAGCGACAGGCTACAGTGACTCACAGATTTTTTCGCATACTTTCGACAGAACAAGTAAGTGTGAAAAATTGTTAAAAGATTCTTATTTATTTATTCGTGTGACTTTCAACGCCGCCATTCGTCTATAATAAATTCTCCTGCAATTTCAATGAAAATGTACGGTTTGATATTTGTTTAAATCAATACTACAGTCTTCCATGAACAAATTTGTCAGTCACTGTAAGTTAGTCGTTAACGAGCGAGTTCTTCTCGCGTCGTACGATCCTCCCGTCGTGTAAATCGCACGTTCCAAGAGTGGTCCCGTTTATTAAAAAGCGTGTGGCTCTCAAATACGCGTCTTGCCAGAGGACCAAAAAATCTAAAAGGCAATCGCACGTAAACGTCTCTTTGCGTTGCAGTTCTTCCGCAGGACGGGCCGACGATAACCGGCGAGGAGAAGATTTACGCTAGCGGGGACGTGCTCGACCTGAATTGCACCAGCGGAAAGTCTCATCCCGCCGCGAATCTCTCGTGGTACATCAATGGCGAGCAGGTGAGCCAGAAGTTTGTCGCGTTCACCATAAGACGGTGCTTATTTCTTCTACGAAATATCAATTTATGATGTCATCCGTTCACGCGTTACAGTAAATCATCGATGAGAGTTCGAATGCTCCTCAGCACTGAGTGTTCAGACGTGATCTCCACCCTTGAGCGCTTGACTGGTTTCACTGGGGGACCCCTCAGTGGTGGGGATGATGTCTGACCACTCGAAGCTTTCGAACACTCATCGATGATTTACTGTACACCCACGAGCAAACTCGGTTTCTAGGGAAAGAACGTCTTACCACTTCGTATTTGGAATTACTGGAATGTATGCCAAAGTAACATTCGATTTAACATTTATTTTACTACCTGGAATAAATTTACCAAGTGGTAGGAGACTTTTCTTCTACGCCGCTTTTTCCCCTAGCGGAAGCCGAGTTTGTTCGTTAGGGTACATTGCTTCGCGAGCTCGAGCAATCGTGTCCCGTTCGTCGAAAAATCCCCGAAAGACACGGATAAAATCGTTGAAAGGGGTTTCGTGTACGTCGTTAGAAAGCCCGATCGTTGCTCTGAAGATTACGGGGACATATGATCCAGCAGAGGAGAGACGCGCTCTGTAGAGTGCGGGAACCCGTAAATGCCAGGATAGAAGGATCGTTAAACGAGGGATGGGGAGCAGGAGAGGATCCCGTCGACGACGACGTCGGCAGAGTGGGCGATAGCGGGAAACGGTGACACGATGCTTGATGAGCCAAAGCGCCAATTAACGAACGGCACCGAAACCCGCGTCGCGGGCGGTGGAACGCGTAAACGCGGCCTGTCTCTCTGCGCGTCGCAGCTTAATCGACGTCGCGGAACGTCTCTGGAATCGTCCCGTGACGACTATATGTATCGTCGTCTCACTTCTCTATCGCCCCCCGCAACGACGTCGTTCTTCGAATCATGGGTAAAATTCGCGTGGCCTTAATACGTAACGCGGAAAGAAACCAACGCGAGAAACAAAAGGAGGGAACGAAGGGGAAGACAACGGAGAAGGGGGGGAGTCGGTTGGAACAACGGATGAACTCGTCCAATTCGGTTAATTGTTAATTTACTCCGCGTCGCGCGTTGCCGAGAGGAATCCAATTTGCCTCTAAAGAAGCTCTCGCTGCTGTTGCAGTTCAAAGCTGAGGAGGGAAACGGGGTAGAAGAGGGACCAGAAGAAACGACGACGTCGTCGTATCGGGCGTCGCGGCACCGACCGATTTCCGCGGTTTTTTTCTTCTCTCGTGTTCCAGCAGCGATTTAAATATAATCCGCAAAGTGGAGGCAGTTGACGGGCGATACTCTCACGGCACACCGTCGCGTCGGGCGCGAGAGTGTATGCATATATGTGTACGGGGCTCGAAGCTGCGCCGATGAACGGCGACGCTCCTTTAGGGCTTCGGAACGAATCGAGCCTGCCGCCGCCGGCTCGAAAAGTTTCCTCTTATCCGTTCCGCGAGCGCGTCCCTCCCTCTCTCTCTCTCTCTCTCTCGCTGTTTCCCTTCGCCGCGATTTCGTTCGCGTTACGCTCGGTTCCTCGTGGAAAACTTGCGAACCTTCTCCTCGACGATGTCCATTAGGAGTTGAGCGAGTTTATCGCGGCACTTAACGCGAGCAATATTGTTTCGAAAACGTTCACCTCGTCACGAGTCTCGAAAGATTCGCCCGTTGCGCCGAGGCGTCGCTCGCGCCCAGAGCGTTCTTCCTCGACTTTTCTTCGTCGTCTCACGAGGCCATCCCCCTCCTCGAGGGACGGACGATACGAGCCTTCCGTTGTTCCGCCTCGAGCGGCGATTAATCTTCGATTCTACTTCAATTAGTCGCGCGAACGAACGAACGGGGAAGCCCTTCGACGACTTGAACTTTTCGAGCAGCTTGCTGCTTCTTCCTGCACATGAATCGATGACCGTTTCTTCGGCGTTTAGAACGTTTCTTCGGTACGATTATGGCGCGATTAGAAACGTTTACCTTCTTGTATGCACTTCTCTTGTCCGTGTAATCGTAGCAAACGTATCTGTTGTTCTCCAACGCGACCCGTTTCGCCTTAGACAGCGGTGATTCGACTCGGGAAAATATTCCCGGCAATTTCCATACACGAGGGGCAACGATAATCCGAAACTTGTTTCGCTCCGCTCCGGGCAGTCTAACCTTTTATCCGAGCATCACCTCGAGGCTGTCCTCGAACGTCTACTCCTTCGCCCATCGTCTCGATGAAATTCGAAGAACTCGAGGAAACGCGTTCCGTCGTTGCTTGGTCCGTTTCAGGTGAAGCCCGACTCGGAAGCGGTGTACGACCAGCACGGACTGTTCTCGGTGATATCCAGTTTACGACTTCGGTTGCAGCCGGATCACATCAACGACGACAAAATAAACGTCAGGTAATATCGTCTTGGAAAATCACCCACCCTCGACAAAGCACCACCAACCACCACCAACCACTATCATCCACCATCATCACCATGTTTCATCCAGCTCTCATCGATTAATGCGTCTCTATAAATTTTGTCGAAGATGCGAGGCGACCGTGGAATTGGACTCGAACTCGGACACGCCGCTCGTCAAGACGCGCACAACGGAGGTTTTCGGTAAGCTTTTGCGCTCGATTGCGCTGCCATCTCCATTCACATCTTTTCTCTCTCTCTCTCTCTCTCTCTCTCTCTCTCTCTCTCTCTCTCTCTCTCTCTCTTTCTATATATATTTATATTGTTTTCTTCTCTCCTTTTTCATTCTTTTTCTCCTCTCGCGGCTTCCTACTTCCAGGCTCGCGAGCCAGATAGAGAAAGTAAGGGAGGGAAAGAAAGAACGGGGCAGGGTAAAACGCGGGAAAACGACGGAGGCGTTAATTAACGCGAGCTTGACGGCACGAGAAACGATTACCTCGTTATTCCCGTGCGAAAGAGGCGCGGAAACGAGCGAGAGAACGCGACGAGTCACTTTCCAAGGAAATTAAGCATCGCCCGCGAGCTCCGACGAATTAAGGATGCTTTACGATCGCCGTTCGCCGTTCGTCGTTCTCGGTGGAACGAAGCTTCCGGACCTATACATACATATACATATATATGTATATATATATATACATATATATGTATATATATATATACATATATATATACGCACACCGTCTTCGTGCGCCACAAAGTCGTCCCGTGTCTCTCCCTCGAGACCGCACAGCGATCCATTGAAATTAAAACAATAATTTACGCTCGTTTACCTTTCGCGGCCCTTTCACACCCTTCCTTCTACATCCCCCTTGTGTCTTCTTCTTTCCCTCCGCGTCGACCATCTCTCGTTCGCCATGATTCATCTACACAGGATCGTAGAACGACGCGAAGAAAGGACAGACGCGATCGTTTCAAGCGCGCAACGCTGGACGCAAACGATCGAACCGCGATCGTTTAGTTATGCCACGGCACGCGTCGTACGAATCATTCGCGGGGTCCACGCGGGACAAACGGTCCGCTGAATTCCCGCGTAACGACGCCATTGTTTGGGACAACCAAACCGCTCGTGCCTGGACCGACCCGACTAAACGCCCTACCCGTTTGTACGCACTCCGACGTAACGACGAAAAAAAAAAAGAAGAGAAAAAACAGACAATTCGTCGACGATAAAACTACTAGACATCATGGTTTTGAACGTATATTAACCCTCATCCGTCCCTCGTGTCAATTTTACACAGTTTTCTCCTGTGAAATGATACTTAAAATTTATCACTTCATTATATTGATTTTTATCACTGGGTTAATTTGACACCGTAGGACAAATTAAGTTGGGGGAATGTCAGACTAATTGACAGGCGCGAACATTCGAGATACCCCTGAATGACTCGCCGAATGTTAAAGATTAACATAATCAAATATACATGGTGTTTCGTCTACAATAAATTAAATTAAATTACACGTGAAATCGAGATCTCTAATCACTACTGCAGGATCTATTTCTCGGCCAAGAAAGTTCCTGGCATTTTTCCTCCTCGGTGTATCTCCGTTTTGCTAAACCGACGCGATTGGGGGATAAGGGTGGAGGTGTTCGCCGTCCACCTGAATCGCCCACGAATTGAAACAGCATCGACTGGAACAGGCGGAGTAAGAAGGATGGGAAAGACTGTGTCGAACGTCTGGACGAAATTACTCTTAACGATCCTCGATTTTCTCGTTAGCCGGAATCGTTCTAGGAAGCGACGTACGTCGGCTCGCGGGGGCTACGGCAACGCGCCGCTCCCGTTCCGGTTCCTCCGTGCTTTCGATCGTTCCGAAAGACACCCCTAACCCCCTTCCACCGCGACCGACCGGATCTTCGTACGTACAAACTTTCCGTCGAGCCAGCCCCGTCTTATCGACGTTCAACCTCTTTTACCATCTCACTCTGACTCTCTTTCTCAACCCCCCTGCCTCTCTGTCGCGTGAAAGCGCGCGACGTCGCTTTCACGGCCGACTAGCGACACAGGATCGAGGATGAACGTCGCTCGACGTCGACCGAAGAGCAAAGTTACGAGGCGACGAGGCGCAAACTTTCGCCCCCCTCCCGTCGCGTCGCTCGAAAAGCTTGAAATTCTCGCGAAATATCGAGCAATCTCGCGCCCACCCCTACGCCCATCCCCCAGCTCGACGTCCATCGAGCGGCAATCGCGTTCCAGTTTCGAGATTGCCCCGATACAAACGAATATGGGAATCGCGCGGGTCGCCGATACGAACCGGACTATTCTTGGATGTTTCAGTGGAGGGCCACGCGAGCGTCACGACCCCATCCGTGTGTCTGACGATGGCGAGCGCGCTGTTGCTTCGGCTACTGACGAGCGTTTAGAGAATCCAACGGCGAGAGGAGCGGACAGGATCGTCGATTCGGCGCGTCTCGCGACCAATCCTCGTCGACACAGAGCCACGGGACCGGGACGACGTTCGGATCTCGACTCCGAACGAACCAGCCGAAGCGGAAAAGGGCGAAGGAAGAGGAAGAATGGACAGGGCGAAAAACGTGGTCGTCGCGACGCTCACGATAGGCCCTAAAATCGGGACGAGACGAACGTCGTCGTATCCTTAACTTCGAACGATATACATATATACATGTACCGGTTGTCGACTTCCGGTCGATGAGAACACAGTTCACGGGGCGAAACGCGTCGGATTACCGGTTCCGTTTGTACGGCACGCGACTCGAAAATACGATTTACGAGCCTGTAACCCGATTAATTTGTAAAATCCAAACGGGTGCGCCCCTGGACGCGCAGTCGAAGCTCCAACGGAAATATGGACGATCTTTATTCGACCTAGCTGACGCTGCCCGTAGACGTATCTATGTATTGTTCGTTCTCCACGCGACGGACGAGTCGTCGGTCGTGGTCCCACCCCACCCCCCCAAACCCCTCAAAAAACGAAGCGTCTCGATGTTCCGCCGCAAATCCCGCCGTGTTTCCCGCAATAACGCGCTCACCTCGCGTAGCACGCAACGTTACGTACGTGTAACCCCGTTTACGGCTTCGAAGCTTCCACTACCGCCCCCCACCCCTCGACCTCCCGTAATCGTACTTCCGAAACGACGCGCTGTTGTGCACCTTCTCGCGCCACTCTCGTAGCTCGTAGTCGCAATCGCGCGTGCACCATGTTCGCGCTACCGAACCACCGACCGATCGACCATATTTGACCGACAAACCACGACGACAGATCAACGATCGGTGTTTCACTGGATCGTTTAATCCGCCTTCCTCTCGCGACTTCCTCCCGCCGCTGCCCGCAGCGGAAACGCGCGCGCAGTATACGTGTGCGTGACCGTTGCGTATATGTACCTATTGTATGTATGTATGTTGCGAGCAAGTCTGTGTACACTTGTATATACCTGAGACGCGCGTATACCTTGCCGTATCTGCGTACCTTACCGAGATAGAAAAGAATAAGAAAAAAAAAAAACAAACGAAAAGGGAATCCGAGATATCGCGTCGATGCGAAATTTATCGCGCTTTCCGTAGCATAGACAACGACCGGTGTGGCGTACTACATAGAATCGGACCACGGTTCTTCTCTTGGATATCGATGTCCGGAGAAGAAAACGAGACGACGTGCCGTGACGATCAGGCGATACCTCTCTGTTTCTCTGTTTCTCTCCGGGAGAAAGAAAGAGACAGTTCCTGTGCGTTCGACGTCGTCCGATGAAAACCACGAGCGAGCGCGGGTCCATCGTCTACGAGAGTCTACGTCGAGCCGCGACTCGCTCTTCGGCGTCCGTACACCCATCGGAAAGATTGCGTACTTGTGTGTATGGCCTAATGTATATATTTCGCATATTTAGTAAATAAATCGTATTTCATTACAGGCGACTACTTGATGAGCAGCACCCCGATCCGTGATCATCCCCCCCCCCCCCCCGGTCCGATCTAAAGTAAATCATCGATGAATGCTCGAAGGCAATGAGTATGTTCAGCTGTCATCCCCACCACTGGGCCCTTGACTAGCTCCACGAAACCCTTCCAGTGGTGGGGATGACGTTTGAACATTTATGTAGTACCGAGAAGCTTTAGATTACACTCGTCGATAATTTACTGTATCCAGTTTCGTTTATCCTTGAGAAAACAAAAAAAAAGTTGCGGGAATCGATCGACTTCCGTTCCCCTCGAAAGTCCTGGATGTCTAGCGACCGTGTTCGCTGGTTTACCGGTTCGTCGTGCCCTCCAGGCGGTCGGTAAAGAATTAATTAACGGTCGTATCGTGTCACAGGACAATACAGGGGCGAGGTTCGTCGAACGGGAGAGAGCCACAGACACACAGCCCCGTCGCGCTCGTTACGAGGGAAATTCTAGAGCGAATAAACGGTCGGTCGACGCGCGGACACAGTCCCGGAAGGCGATCGATGCTAATGCCGCGTGCCAGACCAGACGACCAAACGGTCCGGTGCCGGTCTGGCTACCCTTTGAATATGTATCGATGCTCGTTTCACTTCGTCGTTCGGTCAAGTACCGTCGTTCGCGAGTCACCGCCGCAACTAGATCGATTCCTTCGATATCGAATGATATCGTAACGAGCGATCATTACAGTCTCGTGTGTCCTCGACCTATCAATATTCCAGTCCTGCTCGAAGCCCGAAAAACATTACGGGTTATAAGACACCTGACCCGTGATCCGACTGTTTCGTTCGATCCTCTAACTGAAAACGATGGAGGTTCCCTTTACCTCCTCCCCAATATCATCCCTGTGGCTATCGTAACGACGCTGAATCTCGGAATTCCAGGCTCGTTTACCGTCGATCCACCAGTCATCCTTTCCCCTCTTCCCCTTTCCACGGACAGCCCGAACAGCTTTATTAAAATTATTATAATCGTCGGTACCTCGAGATCGTGAAAGCGACGGTCCTAATAAATCCTCCGTTTCGATCGGAATTGAATTGAAAATTTGAAATTGAATTTCGAGTTGATCGATATTCCGGTCGTGGCCCCGCGTTCCCGCCCCTTTAATTAACTTCTCCGTTGAGACAGAGGAACAGAGAGGGACAGACACCCACACACACACTGTCTTCTCCCACTCTCGTCTGTTTCCTTTTGTCCAGACCTTCGCGTCCTCCCTTCCCTCTGTTCCTTCTCCAGGCGACGTTAAATCTCAATTACACTTTCTTAACCGGCCTTTGTCCGAACAATTTTTTCCGTAAACGGCCGACGCGCGTTGGGTCGTTCGAACACGGCCATCAACCGCCGGCGGTCATTTATATTCCGGGTTCGGGACCACCACGGAGCAGAGAGATTCCGGGCGATTCTCCGGGGTGCAGCTCTACGAATCTCTCGGGGGAAGTAACAAGGTAGACGGGCATCATCGATACCCTTAAAAGTTTCACTCGCGCGAAATACGCGCGGATCGTGCGCTCCGTGGCCGTCTGCGATCGTTCACCGTCCCACTCGGTAATTTCTTCCGTTTCTCTCGCCGCATCCGGAATTATAAAATGTTAAGCAGCCTTTCCGGCAGACCGAGCACCTGCCCCGCTCCCGGGCATCTGCCGCGGGAACGCTCGAAATTTCTCGTGATCCGAGACGATATTTTAACAGGGCGGCACGTAGATCACATTCGAAACATACTTTATTTTATACATCTATAAAGGTACAAAATACAGGTATTAAACTTCACCTGGATACAGTCATGACGCCCAAGGACCACGTCAAAGGTACCCTTGAGTATCTAAAATAAACCCAAATATACCACAAAATCTGAGAACAACCGTCGCTTATGACCCTGCTGTCGAGACCCTTAATCATTAGCATAGCATATTATATACATTAACATAGAAGGGTTGTTGTTGTGTTAACAAAAACTGTGTAATTCGATGTACGTGAACAGGTATTTTCGTCGACTCTCCATGGCTGTCACAGGTTGGCCACTGGTTGCCTATGAAATAAATTTATACATTTGCGAACGAGGAAAATCGCAATGCTGCAGTAGATCGTGGCCCCTTAAAACCCAGAGAAAGACCAGTCAGAAAACTTGGTCGTCTCGATTCTATAACTAACAGACCCAAGCAGAGTTCCCCTCGAATGTCCAGAGTGGCGATATTAAATACGGTACCATTTATGTAAAGCATTTTCCGGAAAGAGATACGTTATACGTGCGACAAATCCGCGGGGCAAACACCGTGGAAGGTAGGTGGAACGCAATTTCGCGGGAGAAGAGAGAAGCGAGCGCACACCTCTCTGCTGGAAAGATTACGCGTCGAAGCGCGGGGTGTCGGTTTCACGAGCGGACGCCTGTAACGAGGTCGTCGATTCCTCGCCGCTACACCATCTCCTCTGCTTTCGCGTCGCCACTGAATTTTCATTCGCGGTCCGCTTACGCGAAAATATTCCCGGGACGAGCCGTGAATAGAGAGAAAGCACATCCCACGAAGGAGGGAAACATCGTGGTCGAGGGAAAAATACGTCGGATGAAAATAATATTTTCCGTGAGTTGTGCACGATTTCGCGGTACACGACGGGAGATTTCGATCGTCAAAAAGGAAAGCTCGCGGCCCCGTATCCAACGTCCGAACCCGCGAGGCTAAGCGAGCGCAAATATTGATTTTCAATTACGAGCATTCGTGACTTCGCGCAATGTCCCTGTAGGAGAGTGCGGGGTCGGGCCAGGCTCGCGGCAGCCTTGGCATAAAATAAACCGCAATATCAAGGTCCATCTCGATGCATCGTGGTTCCCCCACGATCGATCTGCCCGTCACGTCGTGGAGGAACGTCTAGCATCCGCGGCCGTGTGTGTCCCTCGAGTTCGCGCGATCCTTCGAGGACGCGTCGCCGTGGAAATTTATTTATTGGGGCTCCGTCGGGGAAACGGATGGAACGGAAGATGCACGGTCGTCGGTTCCTCCTGCACGCCCCGAGAAGACGGACGGTAGCAATTAGAAGGCATGGGGGAAACGGATTCGGGGGTTCCATTTTGCCGATGGCTGGTCCCATTCGTGGATGAATATCCTGTCGTAGATTCGAAACGTCTTCGTGATGGGAAAGAGCCAGAAGAAACGAAACTTTGCGTGGGGATTGAAGTGAATCTACGCGGTGGAGGATGAAAGCTTTCGTCCATTCGTTTACCGCGAGGAAAGAGATGTGCATCGGGATAGATCAAGGAAACATTAATTAACGTACGGCCGATACAGAGTCCAGTCGGAACCATACGAAGAACTTGTTATTTTTCTCATTGAGTATGAGTTTTACAAACAAATTACTATTACGTTCTGTTTATGGAAATTGGATTTCCAAGAATACTGTTACTATGTAATGGTCGGAAAAATAATTAATGCATTTATGGGGTATACAATACGTTCATTGATTTTTATTACAATACACAGTTCTTTCATACTCGTCATTCATTCTTTTACCGTATCAATTACGAGTAATAATTATGTATTGTAACGGGAGTAAATTGATCCAACATACATTCAAATAACAGGAAAAACATATTAAAATTGCTGTGTGGGCGCGGCATGACTTCCAATAAATAATGACAATGTTTATAAAAAGGAAGACTTATTTCTTTTGGACATCGTTACCAAGACGACGCCGTTAATTTGAAGTCTCCCGCTTTAACATTATGCAATACGTGCTACCTATCGGGTAACACGTAACAATATTATTTAAATACTGTTTTACAGTCGTGCCACTTGTTCGCTGCTAAAATGAATACTGGCCA